GGGACTTCATCAAGATAAAAAGTTTCTGCACAGCAAAGGAAACAGTCAACAAAACTAAAAGGCAACCTATGGAATGAGAGAAGATATTTGCAAATGACATATCAGATAAAGGGCTAGTATCCAAGATCTGTAAAGAACGTATCAAACTCAACACCCAAAAAACCAAATAATCCAGTGAAGAAATGGGCAGAAAACATGCACAGACATTTTTCCAAAGAAGACATACAAATGGCCAACAGACACATGAAAAATGTTCCACATTACTTGGCATCAGGGAAATACAAATCAAAACCACAATGAGATACCACCTCACACCAGTCAGAATGGCTAAAATTAACAAGACAGGAAACAACAAATGTTGGCGAGGATGTGGAGAAAAGGGAACCCTCTTATACTGTTGGTGGGAAGGGAAGCTGGTATAGCCACTCTGGAAAACAGTATGGAGGTTCCTCAACAAGTTAAAAATAGAGGGGCGCCTGGGTGGCTCAGTCAGTTAAGTGTCTGCCTTCGGCTCAGGTCATGATCCTGGGGTCCTGGGATCAAGTCCCGCATCAGGCTCCCTGCTCAGTGGGGAGGCCTGCTTCTCCCTCTCCCACTCCCCCTGCTTGTGTTCCCTCTCTAGCTGTGTCTCTCTGTGTCAAACAAATAAAAAATAAAATCTTAAAAAAAAAAAAAAGGTTAAAAATAGAGCTACCCTATGACCCAGCAATTACACTACTAGGTATTTACCCCAAAGATACAAATGTAGTGATCTGAGGGGGCATCTGCACCCCAATGTTCATAGCAGCAATGTCCAATGGCTTTCCACAATAGCCAAATTGTGGAAAGAGCCAAGATGTCCATCGACAGATGAATGGATAAAGATGTGGTTCATATATACAATGGAATATTACTCAGCCATCAGAAAGGATGAATACCTACCATTTGCATCAACATGGATGGAACTGGAGGGTATTATGCTAAGTGAAATAAGCCAAGCAGAGAAAGACAATTATTATATGGTTTCACTCATATGTGGAATATAAGGAATAGCACAGAGGACCATAGGGGAAGGGAGAGAAACCTGAATGGGAAGAAATCAGAGAGGGAGACGAACCATGAGAAACTCTGGACTCTGGGAAATAAATTCAGGGTTGCAGAAGGGAAGGGGGGTGGGGCGATGGGTAACTGGGTGATGGACATTAAGGAGGGCACGTGATCCGATGAGCACTGGGTGTTATATACAACTAATGAATCATTGAACACTACATCAAAAACTAATGATGTACTATATGTTGGCTAATTGAACTTAAGAAAAAAAGAAAAAGAAGATGTGGTGTGTGTATATATATACACACACACAATGGAATATTACTCAGCCATCAGAATTTACATCAATGTGGATGAACTGGAGGGTATTATGCTGAGCAAGGTAAGTCAATAAGAGAAAGACAATTATGATATGGTTTCACTCATATTTGGAATGTAAGACACAGTGCAGAGGATCATAGGGGAAGGGCAGGAAAACTGAATGGGAAGTCATCAGAGAGGGAGACAAACCATGAAAGACTCTTAACTCTGGGAAACAAACTGAGGATTGCTGGAGGGGAGGTGGGTGGGGGGATGGGGTAATTGGGTGATGAGCATTAAGGAGGGCACGTGTTGTGATGAGCACTGGGTGTTATGCACAACTGATAAATTACTGAACACTAAAAAATAAAATAAAATAAAATATTGGGACTACACGAAAATAAAAAACTGCACAACAAAGGAAACTATCAACAAAATGAAAGACAACCTACTGAATGAGAGAAGATATTTGCAAATGGTATATCTGATAAGGAGTTAGTATTCAAAATATATACAGAACATGTACAACTCAATATCAACAAGCAAATATCCAGTTAAAAAATGGACAGAGGACCTGAACAGACATTTTTCCAAAGAAGACATCTAGTTGGCCAATAGTAACCAGAAAAGATGCTTAACATCACTCATCATCAGGGAAATGCAAATCAAAACCAGGATGAGATACCACCTCACACCTGTCAGGAAGGCTAAAATCAGCAACACAGGGAACAACAGGTGTTGGCAAGGATGCAGAGAAAGAAAGGGGAACCCTCTTGCATTGCTGCTGGGAATGTAAGCTGGTACAGCCACTGTGGAAAACAGTATGGAGGTTCCTCAAAAAATCAAAAATAGAGATAACATATGATCCAGTAATCCCACTACTGGGTGTTTACCCAAAGGAAAAAAGAGCACTAATTCAAGAAGATATATGCAGCCCTATATTTACAACAGCATTATTTATAATAACCAAGATATGAAAGCAACCCAGTGTCCACTGATAGATGAATGGGTAAATAAGATGTGATATATATTACTCAGCAATAAAAAAGAATGAGATCTTGCCATTTGTGACAACATAGATGGACATAGAGGGTATTATGTGAAATAAGGTCAGACAAACACAAATACCATATGATTTCACTTACATGTGCAATCTAAAAAACAAAACAAATGATCAAACGAAGAAACAAACTAACCAACCCAAAAAGAAACTCTTAAATACAGAGAACAAACTGGTTGCTGCCAGAGGGGAGCTGGGTGGGGGGGATGGGTAAAATGGATAAAGGGAATCAAGAAGTACAAACCTCTAGTTATTAAACAAATAATTCAACTGTAATTACTTTGTTCAGTTCGGTGTTACCAAATAGAAATTTAATGCAACCCATAGCTATAATTTTTACCTTTCTAGCAATCATATTAAGAAAAGGAAAAAGAAACAGGTGAATTTAATTTCAATGATCTATCTTATTTTACCCACTATATCGAAAATACCATTCAACATGTGATCGATATAAAATATTAATGATATTTTACATTTTTTCACACCATCTTCAAAATCTAGCACATATTTTACATTTACAGCACAGTAAATTCTGACTAGCCAATTTCTACTACTGAATAGATGCACTTTTAGTTAATTACCCTTAGAATCTCACACAGATTAGATTAAGAATTTGTCCATTGTTTTTGTTGTACATATGAGAAAACTGAGGCCAAGAGAGAAGTGCTATCTTTCATAAAGACTTTTTTTTCCCCTTGGGATCCTTGTGGAGAAAAATAATGGCCTACTTTTCATACTACTTGTATAATTTCTGCTAACCATATTTACATGGAGAATTGCATCATTTTTTATGAAATACTGGACATGTGAGTTTGCCTTTATTAGAAAAGGTGACTCCTTGAATTGGAGCCTAAAAAATTGGAGTTATTTCTCAGAACATGCAGGCAGACTGAGTTGGACCCTGCTGCAAAGGTTTTTGTTTTGTTTTTCCTCTAGGCTCAAAGCTTTTGGGTTACTTGGCAAATTGAAGTAGTACATGCAGTTGTGGTGTATGTTGCCTCTAAAAGCAGAAGAGATCAACTTAGCATTGTCCCTCTTAGCAGACCATGCTTAGTGGATGGGTAACAGGGAATTCCTCCCCCGCCTTTTTTTAAAGTAATTTCTATGTCCAACATGGGGCTTGAAATCATGACCTCAAGATCGAGGGTCACATGCTCTACCAACAGAGCCAGCCAGGTGCCCCAAGGAACCCTTCATTTTAACCATTAAATTTTTCCATGGAGTATTACCAAGATATGTACCTGCAGCAGCTCCATCTGGACCTGTGACCTGGGATTCAAGGCTCCCCCCCCCGCCCCCGCCAGACTTACAATCGAGAGAAATGAATTCAATTCCAAGCTCTGCCACTCCCTGGTTGAATGACTTTAAACACTACACCTCCCTGAATCTTAGTGTCCTCATCAGTAAAAAAAAGGACAATTAAGTTCTACTTTACAAGGTTCAAATGAGAACATACATCTATATTTGTAAGGGCCTAGCAAAGCATATTCCACTACCAGTTAAGTCACAGAGCCAACTAGCAGCAGTGCTGAGTGTATCAGTCTGGGCCCAATCCAAAGATAAAAACCACTATATAGATTTATTAAACTCCAAACGTATTAAACTAAAAAAAAAAACAAAAACAAAAAAAAAAAAAAAACTAACTATAATATATAAGGAAATTCTTTACAGTACCCTGAGGCTGAGGGAAGGTACCCATGGAAGGGCAAATTTGGAAGGGGCTCCAAACTCACTGGAAAGGGTGTAACTCAAGCAGAGAAGTTAGCTTAAATTGGTTTGGCCTGGTGTTCTAGAGTCACTAGGTAAGCAGGAGACAACTCTCCAGAGTGCAGGTGGGGAGCAAGCAGCAACTAGTGGAGTAGGAATAGAGAATGGGAACCGTTTAGGTTACCAATAAGCTTTGCAGGACCAGCCTGCCTCAGTAGGAACCCCCTAAGGAGCCAGCAGGCTGTATGGGGGCTGGCAGAGGAAGCTGGGAGCAGCAGCTCTGTTACAAACCTTCAGTCAGCAGGTGGGAGAGGTGTGGGGCCTACAGAGGGAAGCTGGGGGACAGAATGAGTGGCAGGCCTTCAGGGAGAGACCTAAATTGAGAGACCTGCAGATAAGTTATTGCCAGGCCAGGCAGAGGCTTCAAAGGCACTGAGGGGCCATGTATTCTAGATGTGTGGCTGGGTCAGAGCCCCCACCAGATAGCTCACTCCCTCTCTACTGACCCCCACTTTGCAGCAGTTGGAAACTTCAGGAGAGCCCCTTCTTCCTGCAATATCCCTCCAGCACCATCTCCTGAGAAAGCTTAACAGCTTGATCATTGTAAAGGAGAGATGCTTAATGGAATTCCGTCCATTTTCACAGAATAGTTATTGAGAAGTGTTGGAACTGATAGGCAATAATTTGAAAACACACAGGGGTAGACCAAAAGCTGCATTTTCTAGTCCTTAGTTCACTGCTCTTTCTATTACCCTAAATTTTACTTACTACCAGGATAATTCTAGATAGTTTCTTGAAAGCAGCCCTCACACTGAGAGTTGGTCACTCTCCTTTTAGGTGTGCAAGTTGACCCTACGGTAAAGAAGGAGAAAAAAAAAGACCGATAGGAATATAAGAATATAACCTTTCTGAGTCTCAGTTTCTTCATTGAGAAAATGGATATTATACATCCTACTTCATAGGTTTCCTGTAAGAATTAAGGAAGACAACATATGTAAAATCCTCAGCACAGGCCGGGGACATAGGAAATATATAACAGATATCTGTTTCCTTTCCCTCAGATGACATGAGGTCAACCACTGCAGCATATTCTTAATTTCCTTTTTCCTAATCTCATCCAGGAGTGAAAGTAGACTCTGTGAAGATTTTCACATTATCTGTCCTTCATAAAGATTCATTGTTACGTAACAACTGTCATGTCACTTAAGTATTTTCATACCATACTTATGATTTTAAAGGTTCTTCCCTCCTTCAATTATATATTTTCCCAATTAAGTACTTATGTTAATGAGGTTCCAGAGATATCAAGTGGAATCCAGAATTGCTGGGCTATCCAGATTAACTCATTTAGCCTGAATGTCAATCACTCAAACAATACCCAGGTCAACCTGACTGATGACATCCAGCAGTGACATCACATCCACTAATCTCGTCTTTCCTCTTTCCTCTCTCAACTTGCCATCTTCAATCCAAACTGCTTGTCACAATATTCCAGATAATAACCAGATGGTGTGTTCTCAATCCTTTTTAGGACCAGATGCTTAGTCAAGATGCTACATTTAGTTCTGGAAGACCATCTAGGTTACATGTTGCATACAGACTGGAGTTCAAAAAATAGGTCTATTCTTAGCTGACAAGAATAAATTTAACAATTTTTCATACCTCTTTATGAGACACTGGGGAACCAGATCCATGAGTGATCAAGGTGGAAATAATCTGAGATTATCTGGTACAATGCTGTCCAGTGGAAATTTCCACAATGATGGAACTGTTCTGTGTCTGTACAATCCAACACAGGAGCTACTAGCCACATGTAGGTACCAAGCACTTGAAATGTGACTAGCATGACTGAGAAACTGAGTTGTTAATTTTATTTTATTTATATAGCTATGGATACCATATTGGACAGCAAATATCTACATTGTATGGCTTAATGGAAAGCATGTGGGATTTGAAGCTAAAAGAAATCCTAAAGTCTAAATGCTGGCTACTGTCCCTAACTATATAACTTTGGTCAGGTTTTTTTTATCTTGCCCAAACCTCAGCTGCCTCATTTGTAAAATGTGGAAAATACCAGAACCTCACACAATTGTTGTGATTAGAGAATGAAGGTAAAGCATGTAGCCCAGTGCTTAGCAAGCACATAGTAAGTGCCCTTTAAATAATGCCTATTGTCAAGCTGCTCATTTTCCAGATGAAGAAACTGAAGCTCCAAAAAGAGACTTGTCCACAGTTGCACAGCTGGTTGGAAACATAGCCAGGAGCCAATTCCAGATTTTCTCACTTTTTTGAATGAATTTTCTTATATATATGAACCCTCCTCACCCCTAAAGAGTGAAGAGTGGTAGCCCAAACTACTCAGCTATAAAAAATATGTTATACATTTGGAGAAAATGTACCTTGGTAAAGCCTATTTGCTCCTTCCGAAAATTTTCCAGGGGTTTAATCAGCAAATCACTAGCATTGTGTACCTAGAAAAAAAGAAAGAACACACAAAACAACTTTCAGATTAGAAAGGTTCAGATTCAAGTTTCCTTGTTATTAAGGAATTACCCTGTAATACATCAACCTGCAAAATGTAAATTGATTTGCAGGTTTTTTTCATTGTTGTCACTGTCTTTTTTTCCCATACTGGTCTCTTAAAATCAAATGTTTTGAGAAGAAATGAGAGAAGGGACATTAGGGGCATTTCTCTGTAACTTACTGGTAGTCTGATCTGAGTTTTTAATCAATATCTACAGTCATGTCCAGAAACAGATACAGGGGGCCTGAGGTATATGTGGAAAAGAGAAAGAGAATGGAAAATGTATGAAAATACCAATTGCACCAAGTGCAAACCATTTCATGGGAGGCAAATGAGTTAGCAGTAATAGCATCAGGATAAATCCCAGGATAAAGTGTTTCCGGTCCTGCCAGGGTGTGTCATAAAATCAGAACATTTTCTTCAGAACTTACGAGTATATTACAGCATCACAGAGAGCACTGGATCAGGCCTTCAAATTACCTACAAATGTAGGTATCAGCTCCAAAGCTGATAAAAACAGCCTGTCCAAGAATGAAAAATATTGACATTAATATGGTTCTAGAGATATAAAAACACCATTTGCAAACTGGACCCCTTGCTCAGTGGACAGGCAGAGATATACAAAGCTTTGTGTTCATATAAACCTCCTGAAAGATTGCATCTGTCCAAGGCAACAAGGGGGGTTTGTTTTCTTCAGTGGTGTGAATCAGCTGTATATTAATGGAGGACCTAAGAGAATACATCTGAAGGGCTGGATTTTAGGATCCAATGCACTAATTTTGATCTAAGACAGGGAAATGAGGTACTGCCTTCCTTGTCAAATGAGACATAAAGTGTAAGTAAGACAAGATATATCTTCATAACAAAAGTAGAAAAAACAGTAGAAAGCCAGTTTTGACCAGTCCTGTATTCTCCAGATTAAGAGGCAGTTTTTAAAGATTTTATTTATTTATTTATTTGACAGAGAGAGAGACACAGCGAGAGAGGGAACACAAGCAGGGGGAGTAGGAGAGGGAGAAGCAGGCTTCCCGCAGAGCAGGGAGCCTGATGCGGAGCTCGATCCCAGGACCCTGGGATCATGACCTGAGCCGAAAGCAGACACTTAATGACTGAGCCACCCAGGCGTCCCAAGAAGCAGTTTTTAAACTACCAGCAAAATGCATGGGCAGTCGGGGCATTAGTACATATTTTTTAATCTGTGTCCTGCAGGCACTTTGGGTCTCCTGTTTTGTGTCCAGGTATGATTCAGAGTTCAACTAAATGGGCAAACTCTCATCCAATCAAGCTCTACCAGAAGCCCTAGTACCAAAAATAAGGACATCAGTGATTCTCCTTGATCAAAAATAAGAATTCTTTTATTAAAAGTACTAGCTCAGTTAAGGGGGGCACATGATGGGATGAGCACTGGGTGTTATATACAACTGATGAATCATTGAACATGACATCAGAAACTGATGATGTACTCTATGCTGGCTAACAGAATTTAAATTTTAAAAAAAGTATTAGCACATCTCTCTTACTCAACACACTCTATAGTTCTATAGACTGTGAGATATGTGATAATCAACTTTGTGTACATACCTGGAAACAAATTATGTCATTAGTGTCCTAGATCCAGTACAGAGAGTCATTTTTCTTCTCTCCTTTTGTGCAAGTTTTAAAACATGGCCACAAATTTTGTGACACTTTCCCCATTGAGAGGTGAGGTCTCTGTCCCCTCTACCTTTAATATGAGTGGGTTTATTACTGCTCTGAACTAACAGAGTATAGCAGAAGTGACACTATGTGACTTCTCAGACTAGGTCATAAAAGGCCAGCAACTTCCACCTGGTTCTCTTGGAACACTCCCCCTGGGGTGCCCTGAGCCACCCTATAGGAAGCTGGACTATCCTGAGACTACCAACCTAGAGAGGCCAAATACATACTTTCTGATCAAAAGTCCAGCTGAGCCCAGCCTCCCAGCCATTCCACTGAGGTGCTTGATAGGTGAGCAAAGCTTTGGACTGCTTTGGACTCTCCACCTCAACCCACCTCCCAGGTGACTACTACCACATGAAGCAGAAAAATTACCCAGCTGACGCCTACCTGAATTCCTGACCTACAACATAATGAGATAAAATTAAATGGTTTTAGTTTAAGCCACTACATTTTGGAATAGGTTGTTATGCAGCAACAGATAATTAGAAAAACCATTTCCACTTTCACAAAGGTAACACACAAAAAAGTGGTTACCTGGGACACACTGAAGAAGTTTGCCTTTGAAGTGAACATGCCATTTCTAAGGAGAGTAGTATGTGTCAAACTTCTATATGGACTTTCAGCTGAGCCCTTGCATACATAAGCAACCCAAGGATGGCACAGTTGCCAGTTTTTATGCTTCAAAGGGGATTTTCTTGTATAAGCAAGTGTGCCAGCAACTTCTTACACAGGGTCCACAAGGCCACTGCTTTTAGTATGTTTGGCCCTGTCTCTGTCGAGAAAACTAGCACATGATTCACTGAAATTGGAGGCCATAGTTCTCACTTGATCACATTGATTATAATACTGCTACCAGTCTCCTACAACACAAATAAATACTCTGAGCATTTCCTCTCTTTGACACTCATTGGTTATTATAATACTTTCTGCCAGAACACAGAGCTAGAGATGTAGGAAAAGATCACACTGAAGCTTGACTCTTTTTTTTTTTTTTTCATTTTGTTTTGTCCTCAAATCTCTTAGAAGTCTAGCAACTACTCAAAAAAGCCCTTTTAATTAAACATGATCTTTATTCCCCTTTCGGATCACTACACCCATTTCATAAGCTCTCTAGCAGAAAAGTTCCTACCTGCTATCCCAGGGTAGAACCCCCAGCATGATAAGTGACACTCTGAACAACACATTAGTGAGTTTAGCTAATCAGGTCCCTATTATATGAATCCCAATTAACACTAGGTAGGGAATTTAGCAGATTAGAGATGGTACTCAATCCAGCAGTGTAGGATTGTTCATGAATCTTTGATGGATAACTAATTACCAAAAGAAGTCATTGAGGATATACTGCTTGAAATAGTATGGGTCTCTTCAGGTCATTCTTCGCAGTCCTCAAAGACAGACCTTGCACATTGCTAATAGGGTGGCCTTCAGAGTCAGAAAGGCACCTAGGCAAGCCAAACGTTAATCATACAGGAAGTCTGTTATCCAGATTTTCAAGGCCAACTTCTGAGGTAATACAATATCCCACAGGGTACTAGTTAAGAACATCACAGTTGGAATGCCCCTCTTCAATTCTTTCCTCCATAATTCCTTCCACAATTTAAGTTCATTTACAAGAATGACTAGACATTTGCAATTATCACAGGCTAGAGCTGTGAACTTCCTTTTCTAAAGCTTCTTTTGGCCTCTTCTTATAGAAAGGAAAAGAAGCTGTTTAACACCTCCCAGATTATCTATAGTGGGGTAAGAAGTCCTTTTACCACAGTTCTAGGAAAAGGGAGAGGTGCAGTGAAGCAATGAATTCCTGGCATGTTGTGAAAGGCCCTCATTGAGCCTAACCTTCACAGCATTCCTAAAATTAAACGGGAAATGGGGAGCCAAACACTCAATACATGATTGAAGAGTTGTGGGGACAAAGAGGCACAACATAATGAGAGACAGAAGAAAATGAGTCACTCCTGTGGAAAAAAGCCAGCAAGAAGGATGAGAAAAACAATGTCTCAAAAGATGAGTCCTACTTTAATATTTTAGAGCTTTGTAATTGGGTAAATAAAATCAAGAAACAACTAGATACAGAGTTACAGGTCTGTGACTGGAGCAGAAGAATGAAGGGGGGAATCAGAGGGGGAGACGAACCATGAGAGACTATGGACTCTGAAAAACAAACTGAGGGCTCTAGAGGGGAGGGGGTGGGGGGATGGTTAGCCTGGTGATGGGTATTAAGGAGGGCACGTTCTGCATGGAGCACTGGGTGTTATATGCAAACAATGAATCACGGAACACTACATCAAAAACTAATGATGTAATGTATGGTGATTAACATAACACAATAATAGAAAAAAGAAATGCTTTCTTGATTAAAGTCACTCATGATCTTAAGGGGAAAAAAAAGAAACAACTAGGGCTGAAGAGAAGTACAGCTGAGCTTTCTAGTGGTATATGAATGAAATGGAGTTGAATGCCTTTGAGATCAACATTGGCAGTTGTCCACAAATTCTTCAGGCAGAGGAAAACATTTAGTAGAGTGTAGATTAGCTAGGGGGGCCATCTACCAGACTCCAGAGAAACTACCCATATTGGTCTCTCCTTAATATCCTTAGAAGCAAGTCTCTTAAACTAAGAAAATTCCCAAGTCAAATTTCCATAAGCAGAATCTTGGGAGTAACAAAAGTTAACTACAAACAACACTCACTTAGTAAGTGGTTTGTTTTTTTTTTTTTGCTATTTATAGAACACTTTCATATTCATTATATCATCTGGAGTTCTTACAACAACCTTGGGAGGTGGGATTATTTTCCTCATTATACATATGAAAAAAGAAAGACAGCGAAATACCATGATTTGTTTGAAATCAACAATTAGTAGCACTGCCATTATTAGAATCTAAGTCTCTACTTTCCCTACGTCCACGTCCTGCCTTCAATCCTACTTCTCTAGGAGCCTAGATGAAATGGTAGCAGTATTCTCAGAAGCCAGTATCACACTGTTGAAAAGGATGAGTAATGACAGATTAAAGAACTCTGGTTATTGAATAAACAGACTTAACAAAACTGAACTGCCCACAGGAAATCATCCTATCAAGAAAGGGAAGGTAGACCTCTCATCACCCTCTACGAAGTTCCAACATTACCCTCACACCCCTAATAAAAATAAATATTGACCAACTTAGGTACTTCTACATTTAAGTCCAAATAGGTCTGGGGTGGGGCCGAGGACCTGCATTTCTAACAATTTCCTAGGAGACATTGGTGCAGCAGATCTAGGGACCACACAAAAAGATTATTTTTTAAGCTGCTAAAATAGAGTTCACCAAAAAAAAAAAAAAGAAATACAAGATCTGTGTAAGGAAACTACAAAACTCTGATGAAAGAAATCAAAGAAGGGTTTAATAAATGGAGAGATAATCCATGTTCATGAATAGGAAGGCAATATTCTCAGGATTTCAGTTTATCCCAACTTGTTCTATAGATTCAATATAATCCTGATCAAAATCCCAGCAATTTATTTTGTGGGTACTGACAAATTGATTCTAAATTTCATACCTAAAATTAAGTCTTACTACAAAGCTACAGTAATCAAAACAGAAGAAAGGGGTTATGTGAAATCTCTCTGTACTTTCCACTCAGTGTTTTCATAAAACTAAAACTGCTCTAAAAAATAAGTCTATTATTTTAAGAAATAGACTTTAAATATAAGGAGAAGTCTTCACAGAGATTTAAATAAAACAATTATATGTCAAATATAAAGTCTATATTATTTATTTCTATAAGCAGAGAAACAGATAAATAAATGAATAATTTAAGGACAACAAGGGCCACAATTTCTTTCCACATGTTCAATAGCCCGGTTTAATGTCCTCTGAAACCGCTTCTTGCTGATATGAATAGAAATGGAATTTCCACACTAATTTCTCTACCTAATGTGAAACTCCCAGGGTAAAAGCTTGAAATAGAATAACCAGATCTACTTCCTAAATATCTTTACTGTTCTAAACAGCCATGAGACAGAAACTGAAACAACAGACTATCAATCTAATGAACGAGGACAGAAAAATCCCAAGATATCAGTTCAAGGCCCAGTGTTAGTGACCTACCATCATCATCCTCTCATTTTCTACTTCGTTGAGCAATTCAGCAAATTCCTTGAAGGATTCAGCTAGAAAGACAGAATAAAAGATAAACCAAATTAATCAGAGTACTTGATAGGGAAGTGGGCAGAGATCTGAGTGATATAAGTTAGGGACCGGTGCTCCAAGCCAGCCTGGACACTAGAGGAAGGCATCAAACCTAAGGCCAATAGGAGAATGTGTTCAGTGCTTGTTGAATATTTCTCTTTTTTTGTTCTTTCTTTCTTTCTTTCTTTTCTTTTCTTTTTTCTTTTTCCAATTCCACCACCCAAGAGATTTTTTCCCTTCAGTTTTACTGAGATATAATTGACATACAACACTATGTGAGTTTAAGGACAGGATCTATTCTCTTGGCGACTTTCAAATATACCACATAGCAATGCTAATTACAGTCATCATATTGTACATTATGTCCTCAGTTTTTATTTATCTTGTAACTGGGAGTTTGTACCTTTTGATTACCTTCATTCAATTACCCCAGCCCCCACAAATCCGATTACTTTTTCTAGGAATTTGTTTTTTAGGTTCCACATATAAGTGAGATCATACAGTATGTCTTTGTTTGATTTATTTCACTTAGCATAATACCATAAAGATCCATTCACGTTCTTACAAATGGCAGAATATCCTTATATTTTATGGCTGAATAGTATCCCAGTATGTATGTATATATGTGTATATGTGTGTGTGTACCATATATATACCACAACTTTTTTATCCATTCATCTACCAATGGACACTTAAGTTGTTTCCATGTCTTGGCTATTATATATAATGCTGCAATGAACACAGGAGTGCAGATATCTCTTCAACACAGTGGTTTAATTTCCTTTGGATAATTAATTCCCAGATGTGGAATTGCTGGATCATAAGGTAATTCTATTTTTAATTTTTTGAGGGACCTCCATTCTATTTTCCACAGTAGCTGGCACCAATTTACATTCTTACCAACAGTGTACAAAAGTTCCTTTCTCTCCACATCCTTGTCAGCATTTGTCATCTTGTCTTTTTTATGAAAGCCATTCTAACTGAGGGAATATCTCATTGTGGTTTTAATTGCATTTCCCTTATGGTTAGTGATGTTAAGCAAGTTTCATGTACCTCTTGGCTATTTTAATACCATCTTTGGAAAAATGTTGATTCAAGATTTGCCTATTTTTAATTGGATTATTTGGGGGTTTTTGTTTGTTTGCTTTGCTATTGAGTTGTCAGAGTTGTTTATATGTTTTGGCTATTAACCCCTTACCAGATACATGATTTGCAAATATTCCCTCCCATTGCATAGGTTGCCTTTTCATTTTGTTGATTGTTTCTTTGGCTGTGCACAAGAATTTTAGTTTGATATAGTCCCTCTTGTTGATTTTTTTATGTTGTTGCTTGTCCTTTGGTGTCATAGCAAAAAAATTGCCAAGACCCTATCAAGAAGCTTTTTCTTTATGTTTTCTTCTAGGAATTTTATGGTTTCAGGTCTTACATTTAAGTCTAATCCATTTCAAGTTAACTTTTGTGAATAGTGTAAGACTGGAATCTACTATCATCCTTTTACATGTGAATGTCTAGCTTTCCCAGGTCCAGACGGTCTTATCCCTACTGTATATTCTTGCCTCCTTTATCTTAGATTAATTAACAATATAAGCCTGGGTTTATTTCTGGGCGTGCTATTCTATTCCACTGATCGATATATCTGTTTTTATGCCAGTACCATACTGTTTTGATTACTACATCTTTGTAGTATAATTTGGAATCAGGGAGCATGATGCGTCTAGCTTTGTTCTTCTTTCTCAAGACTCCTTTGACTATTCGAGGTCTTTTGTGATTTCATACAAATTTTAAGATTATTTGTTCTAGTCTGTGAAAGATGCTGATGGTATTTTGATAGGGATTGCATTCAATTTGTAGACTGCCTTGGGTAGTATGGACATTTTAACAATATTAATTCTTCCAATCCATGAGAACTATATCTTTCCATTTATTTGTGTAATCTTCAATTTCTTTCATCAATGCCTTATAGTTTTCAGAGTATAAGTCTTTGACCATCTTGGTTAATTTTATTCCTAAATATTTTGGTTATGATGCTCTTGTAAATAAAATCATTTTCTTTATTTCTTTTTCAGATAATCTTTTTGGTTTTTTTTAACTGTTTATCCCCTTCACCTATTTCTTTTACCCCTTACCCCACATTTTTCTGATGAAGTCTTTAGGATTTTCTCTATATAAAATCAAACAGAGATGATTCTACTACTTTCTTTCTGATTCTGATGCCTTTTATTTCTTTTTCTTACCTAATTAATCTGGCTAGGGATTCCAGTACAATACTAAATAACAGTAGTGAGTGAGCACATTTGTCTTGTTCTTGATTTTAGAAGGAAAGCTTTGGAACTTTCACCACTGAGTACGATCTTAGCTGTGGGCTATCACATATTGCCTTAATTATGTTGAGGTACATTTCTTCTGTACCTAATTTGTTGAGAGTTTTTATCATGAACAGATGTTGAATTTTGTCAAATGTGTTTTTTTTTTTTTAAGATTTTATTTATTTATTTGCGAGAGAGAATGAGAGACAGAGAGCATGAGAGGGAGGAGGGTCAGAGGGAGAAGCAGACTCCCCGCTGAGCAGGGAGCCCGATGCGGGACTTGATCCCAGGACTCCAGGATCATGACCTGAGCCGAAGGCAGTCGCTTAACCGACTGAGCCACCCAGGCGCCCTCAAATGTGTTTCTTTACCTATTATTTTTATTGGTGGTTAATCATAATATAATTAGTTTATATTTGTTTTGTTTGCATTAACATTATGAAAGATTCATTTCAGGATACCTTTAATTACTAAACTTTCCTAACATATTTAAAATGTAAATATTCGATTCGTAAAACTTTCCAAACTTTCCAACTTTCCAAAATACATCTGTTTTGTTGAGTAAGGTGCTCCCATAGCCCTGACTTACAATTGAACTGTAACAATGAGATGATGCCTGGCCTTTATGTAGTATTGATTACCTAAGTCCAACATTCAGGTCCTGCAGTGCAGTTATTTTGAAACTAATCTCTTTACCCCACCATTTTGAACATATTATTTCATATTACTTTATATTCATCATGATAGGTGTATTCTTTAATCCCAAGCCCTATTTCACCAATCCCCCCACACTACCCCCTCTGGTAACCATCAGTTTGTTCTCTATAATTAATAGTCTGTTTCTTGGTTTGTCACTCTTTTTTTTCCTTTGCTCATTTGTTTTCTTTCTTAAATTCCATACATATGAGCAAGATCATGTGGTATTTGTCTTCAGACTTATTTCATTTAGGAATATACTCTCTAGCTATACCCACATCATTGCAATTGGCAAGATTTCCTTTTTATGACTGAATAATATCCCATTATATATATCTAGATAGTTAGATAGATAGATAGATAGATAGATAGATAGATAGATAGATATAAAATATTAATACATACACACCATATCTTCTTTATCTATTCATTTATCAATGGACACTTGGGCTGCTTCCATAATTTGGCGATGGTAAATAATGCTGCTATAAACACAGGAGTGCATATAACCCTTTGAATTAGTGTTTTTGTATTTTAGGGGTAGATATCCAGTAGTGCAATTACTGGATTGTAGGGTAGTTCTATTTTTAATTTTTGGGGGAACTTCCATACTGTTTTCTACAGTGGTTGTACCAATATGCATTCCCACCAACAGTGCAAAAGGATTCCTCTTTCTCCACACCTTCATAAACACTTACTTCTTGTGTTTTTTATTTTAGCCATTCTGACAGGAGTGAGGTGATATCTCATTGTAGTTTTGATTTGGATGTTCTTTTTTTTTTTAATTATGTTGTGTTAATCACCATACATTACATCATTAGTTTTTGATGTAGTGTTCCATGATTCATTGTTTGCATATAACACCCAGTGTTCCATGCAGTACGTGCCTTCTTTAATACCCATCACCAGGCTAACCCATCCCCCCACCCCCTCCCCTCTAGAACCCTCCATTTGTTTCTCAGAGTCCATAGTCTTTCATGGTTCGTCTCCCCCTCTGATTTCCCCCCCTTCATTCTTCCCTTCCTGCTATCTTCTTTTTTTTTTTTTTAACATACAATGTATTATTTGTTTCAGAGGTACAGGTCTGTGATTCAACAGTCTTATACAATTCACAGTGCTCACCATAGCACATACCCTCCCCAATGTCTATCACCCAGCCACCCCATCCCTCCCACCCCCCACCACATGTTCATGATAATGAGTGATGTTGAGCAACTTTTCATGTGTTTGTTGGCCATATTTATGTCTTCTTTGGAAAAATGTTCATGTCTTCTGCCCATTTTGATTGGATTATTTGTTCTTTGGGTATTGAGTTGTAGCAGTCCTTTATATATTTTGGATACTAACCATTTATTGGAAATGCCATTTGCAAATATCCTCTCCCATTTGGTGGGTTGTCTTTTAGTTTTGTTGATTATTTCCTTTGCTGTGCAGAAACTTATTTTAATGTAGTCTCAATAGTTTATTTTTGCTTTTATTTACCTTGCCTCAGGAGACATATCTAGAAAAATGCTGCTACAGCTGATGTCAAAGACATTGCTGTCTGTGCTCTCTTTAATGGTTTTTATGGTTTCAGGTCTTACATTTAGGTCTTTAATCCAATTTGAGTTTATTTTTGTGTATAGTGAAAGAAAGTAGTCCAGTTTCATTCTTTTTTTTTATGTTATGTTAGTCCCCATACAGTACATCATTAGTTTTTGATGTAGTGTTCTGTGGTTCATTGTTGGCATATAACACCTAGTGTTCCATGCAATACGTGCCCTCCTTAATACCTATCACGGGGCTAACCCATTCCCCCACCCCCCTCCCCTCTAAAACCCTCAGATTGTTTCCCGGAGTCCATAGTCTCTCATGGTTCATCTCCCCCTCTGGTTTCCCCCCCTTCATTTTTCCCTTCCTTCTCCTAATGTCCCCCATGCTATTCCTTATGTTCCACAAATAAGTGAAACCATATGATAATTGTCTTTCTCTGCTTGACT